TGGAGGGATCCACAGGGATTCTATAGAGTCCCTGGAGGGATCCACAGGGATTCTATAGAGTCCCTGGAGGGATCCAAAGCCTCCTAGAGGGTCCCGAACGGATTCCGATGGGAATCCGTAGGGAGCTTTTAGGATTCATACAGAATTCATACAGAAATCATTCAGAATTCGTACAGAATTCGTACACAATTCGTTGTGTTGTGTTGTGTTGTTCCCCCCCCCCCCCCCTCCGACTCACCGGGGGGGCGGGACCGGCCTCCTCCACTGTGGCGGACGCGGGAAGTGAAGCCCCGGACCCCGGGGGGACCATGCCGGCCTGTACCTTGTTGTTGTTGGTGAGTTCTCATTCTTAAGAATAATTATTGTTGATCCCCCCCACCGGCGCACATGGATTTTTCCGTTGAGGTGCCCCCCGCCGGGGCTCGCGCCTTGTTTTATGTCAAAGAAGATCTTCCTGCTCAAACTGGCCCCCTGGCCCCCGGGTTATAACAACAACGGTTCCCGCCTGAGACTTCCTCACAATTTAGCCAGGACCCCCGCCCCCGCCCGAGACTTCCTTGCATTTCATTGCGAAGGCCTTGCGGCCGGCGCCGCCGACCCTGAATGGCGACGACGACGACGACGACGACGAGCGCTCTTGGGGGCCTCTTGGGGGTAGTTTGTGGGCCTTTTGGGAAGCTATTAGGGGCCGCTTGGAAGCCTCGCGGGGGCCTCTTGGGGCTTCCTTGGGGTCTCTTGGAGGGGGCCTGGGACGTCTTGGAGGCTTCTTGGACGGTCTTGGGGCTATCTGGGCGTTTTCGGCCGATTTTTGGGCGACTCGGGGCCCTCTTGGGCCGTCTCGGGGGCCACTTTGGGCACTCGGACCTCATTTGGAGCGTTTCCGAGGTTTCTAGGCCGCCCGAGGAAAAACTAATCAGCCCCCCACCCCACCCCACCCGGGACCCCCCCCCTGGGGAAGGGATCGAAGGGAAGGGGCTTCCCTTCGATTCGATTACGACACTGCTAGATTTTTCTCTCGCTCGCGAGCTTGAGAAGGAAACTGCAGGGAAAGGGGACGACGGAGGCGACGACCGACGGAGACGACGACTCGAACAGCCAAGCAGCTCGCACACGCCGACACAGTCGGCGGATTCAAGAATCGCGCTCTCGCGTGGGACGTCCTTACGATTTATTTAGGAATCGTTCCTCCTGCGCTCTGGAGTTGCGCTCTCGCTGGAGACTTGCTTGCTATCTACTGAAGAATAGCGCCGTTGCGTTGAAATTTCTTGCAATTTACTCCAGCGCCGCGCTCCCGACAGCCAGGCACCCAGGAGTCGCGCTCACGCTTAGGACTCCTTTCGCAGATTACCGAGGAAACGGGATCTCGCTGCCCTTCGTGGCTCCGTTGCAGCCCTTCGTGGCCCCTTCGCTTCGTTTCGTGGCCCCGTTGCAGCCCTTCGTGGCCCCCTCGCTTTATTTCGTGGCCCCGTCGCAGCCCCTCGTGGCCTCCTCGTTGCCCTTCGTGGCCCCGTTGCAGCCCTTCGTGGCCCCCTCGCTTTGTTTCGTGGCCCCGTTGCAGCCCTTCGTGGCCCCCTCGCTGTTCTCCGTGGCCCCGTTGCAGCCCTTCGTGGCCCCGTTGCAGCCCTTCGTGGCCCCCTCGCTGCCCTTCGTGGCCCCGTTGCAGCCCTTCGTGGCCCCTTTCGGTTTGTTTCGTGGCCCCATAATTATATGTATGCCCTTCGTGGCCCCCGCTCGGTCGCGCCCGTGGTGGCCCCATATGCATGCCCTTCGTGGCCCCGCTGTCGCCCTTCGTGGCCCCCTCGCTGCCCTTCGTGTCCCCGTTACTGCCCTCATTGGCCCCGTCCGTACCCTCTGCGGCCCAACATACGTATGCCCTTCGTGGCCCCTGCTCGTTCCCGCCCGTTGTGGCCCCATGTGCATGCCCTTCGTGGCCCCGCTGTCGCCGTTCGTGGCCCCCTCATTGTCCTACGTGGCCCAGGTGCTACCCTCAGTGGCCCCATCGTTGCCTTCTGTGGCCCCGCATTATCTGCCCTTCGTGGCCCACGCTCGTTCGCGCGATTCGTGGCCCCATACGCATTCCTTCGTGTCCCCGCTGTCGCCCTTCGTGGCCTACTACGTGTCCTGCTCTGCTGTCGTTCTCTCTCGCTCTCGCTTTCGCTCGTCGTCGTTGTCGCCGTCGCCGTCGTTGCCGTCGTCGTCGACGTCGTCGTCCTCGTCGTGGTCGGTCCCCTGTCCGTCCCTCCTGGGGTCGGGTCGACGGCCCGCGGCCGCCCCGCCGATCAGCGCTGCCGCTGGCCAGGCTGACGGTCCGCGGCCGCCCCGCCGCTTGCCGGGGCCCGGCCTGCAGGGAAGAAAGGTCTACCCCCCAAAAGGGGTTCGATCGAAGACGAAGAGGTCGGGTATCGAGGGTTTGGGGAATTCGCGTTATTGGACACTCGAGCATATAAGGGCGATCGGTCTTAAAATTGTTGTTGTTGCTGTCGTCGTTGTTGTTGTTGGTTGTTGTTGTTGGTGTTGGTGTTGGTGTTGGTGTTGGTGTTTGTGTTGGTGTTGGTGTTGGTGTTGGTGTTGGTGTTGGTGTTGTTGTTGTTGTTGTTGTTGTTGTTGTTGTTGTTGTTGTTGTTGTTGTTGTTGTTGTGTGTGTGTGTTGATGTGTGTGTGTGTTTTTGTGCGTGTGCGTGTGCGTGTGTGTGTGTGTGTGTGTGTGTGTTCGGGGGCGGCAAAGAGGGGGTGATGACTAGGGGGGTGGATATCATGGCGTGGGCCATGACAGCTCCTCAGATCTCATGGCGCCTGTTCTTAGTTCAGTACGTCCCCAGCCTCCCCCCCTGGGCCGCGCACCTGCCGCCAGCCATGAGTTGTGCCCCCCACCTCTCGGACGCCCCCCTCCTTGGCCGCCCCCGATGTGTGTGTGTAGCTCCTGGGCTCTGCGCGCGGAGCTGTGTGTGTGTGTGTAGCTCCTGGGCTCTGCGCGCGGAGCGGGAGGAACGGGAGGCGGCGGGAACGGGGGAACGGGAGCGAAGACGGCAGCGAGAACAAGCAGCAGTTTCCTGCAATAACGCCCAAAAAGTTTAAACAACTGAGATGCGACGGGCCCAGAACGCACAAGCAACATACAGTAAACCGTTCAAAAGCAAGCCAAACAATCATCAAACCATCCCCAGGGTGTTGCCAAGGCGAACAAAGCTGTTGGGCATCGTACTCATGTTTCCCATATCCGTTTCGAACGTCCAAATGAAAGCATTGTTCGTCAGGGGCAGCGTTTCGCGGCTTCGAGGTTCGAGATTTTCGCAGACTTTCGGAGGTCTTCGGTGACAGACGGGGGAAACGCGGGGATGCACCCTTGGGGTGCCATTCGGACGCACCAGTCGGGGATTTGGGTCGCCACACCTACCGTTACTCGGTGGCTTTCCAGCCTTGCGGACGCCTTCCAACATCTGCGCTTCGCGGAGGGCGCTCTTCGGGTGCTCGGATCGTCCCAAACGACCGCAAGAGAGCCGAGCTATAACCCCAAAAGCCAGGGGGCAACGTTGGGAGGGGGATAAGCTCAGGGGGGATGCATCGACCCCCAGTCTCGCAGGCATGGAGGTCGACACCAACACCAATATCGGCGGCGTGCCGCCACCGAGGGACGACGATGCCGATCTCGGCGATGGTGGTAATATTCTGGCTTCCAAGGTGGCCGAAATCTGACCACCAACACCAAAGTTTAGAATCATCCTCCCTGGTAGAGGCAACCTTTGTGTTGGTGTCGCTTCCCATGTCTAGGCCTCCAGAAGTGGTCGGCCGGTGCTGGAAGAACCCCATGGCCCAAGGCACCCCCAGGACTTCCAGGGAGGCCCCCACAGCCTCCCGAGCACCCCATCACGAGGCCCAGAGGGCCCCCCTGTGGAGGCCACCCCCTGGGGAGGCCCCCCCCCTGTGCTGGTCTTGGTGCCCCTGTCCTGGCCTCCTGCAGCCGCCCTTTCAGCGCCGACCGGGGCCCGCGAGCCCAGACTGAGGCTGAGGCTGAAGCAGGCTGAGGCTGAGGCAGAGGCAGGCTGAGGCTGAGGCTGAGGCAGGCTGATGCTGAGGCAGGCTGAGGCTGAGGCTGAGGCTGATGCAGGGTGAGGCTGAGGCAGGCTGAGGCTGAGGCCGAGGCTGAAGGCAGGCTGATGTTGAGGCTGAAGCAGGCCCCGCCCGGGAGTGTGCGGGTTCGCCGCGTGGGGCCTGCCGCCGATCTGCCGATGCCGTGTCGCCGATGCCAGCGCGATGCCGGCCACCCCTGAGCCGCTCTTCCCACAGCGTCCCCCCGTCGTCAGAGATATGCGCAGGTCGGGCACGTCCCTCTACAGAAGGAGCATAGCCAAACACAGTAGCAACATAGTCCGTGGAGGATGTGTTGATGATTTTTGCTTGCTCATTTTTTTTGATCATTTCTGAGCATTGTTTACTTTTTCTCCCAGCTTCCCCTGTAGGGGGACATGCCCGACCCAACCCCAGCGCCCCCCCTCGTCAGGAATAGGCCCAGGGTCTGTCTAACCAGACCTCCAACGCATTGAATGCAACGCGTCAGGGCCGCAAGGTTCTCCACCATGTTCGGCCTCGGGGGGCCCTCCCCGGGCTCGACCGACCAAGAAACCACCCGGGGTGATGGAGCGTCGGCACCGGGAAGAGAGAGTCGGGACTTCGGGGATTTTGAAGGAAGCAATACACAGCAGATATTTGGGAAGGTTCGTTCCTGCCTGAGACAGGGGGACGTACTCCAGATTTCGTAATAAAAGGGAGGGGGTCTGGACCCTCCAAGACAGGCCATTTCAGACCTCCCCCGTGGGAGAACCCTCCAAGACATCGTCCCCAGACCCCCCGGGCCCTCCAAGATAGCCTGGAAGAGACCCCCCCCCCGAAATGAGACCCCCCTCCCTTTCTTACGAAATCTGGAGAGTGTACACCGATCCTGGCCAGCCAGGCTGCGCCCGGCCGGGATCGGTGCAGGCGTGCAGTCGGCGCCCTCCCGCCAGCAGCGAGGGGGTGTACGATGCCTTCGTCGCCGGCCTGCGGGCCGAGGAGGAGAAGCAGGCGGCGTTGGCTGCTGCCGCCTCTCTCCCCCCCCCTCCCTTCCCCGCTTTACTACTGCTCCTACAGTCGACTAGACGTAAGAGTGACCTGTCGCCGGAGTGACCTTGGGTGCGGGCACAGATGGGTCCCCAGATGGCTGGAAAGGAGGCAGGAGCAACGGCTTGCGCGCCCAGGTTTGGCCCCCCCGCGGCCCCCAAAAAGCCGCGCACCAAAGGTCACTCTTGCCCAGGGTCACTCCTGCGTGTAGCCGACACAAGCACCTGGGCGCCACTCCTGCGCTTTACTCGTGGGCGCCATCGAGGGCGCGAAGTTTTTGTCGCGCTTCGCGGGTCGGCTCCGATTCCTCCTCCTCCTCTTCCTCCTCCTCCTCTTCTCCCCTGGGAGAGGGCGCGAGAGCGCGAAGTGATTCGCACTCCGCGCAGCGCGGAGCGCGAAGTTGGGAGCCCTCGTTTACGACTGCTCCTACCAGCACCTCAGAGCCCTGGCCATGCCCTGCTCCGCTGAGCCGGCAGCGTCTCGGCACGGCCCCTTGGCGGGCGGCTGCCACCGTCCGAGGCTCTTTCCGAGCAGCCGGGGCTCGCCGCCGACCAGGGGGCCTTCAGAGCTCGCCCCCGGGGGTGCAGGGGGGCCCTCCCTCTCTCTTCCTCCTCCCCCCCCCTCCGGGGTGCAAGGGTGTCGGAGGTTGATAGACCTCCTACCCTGACACGTCGATTAAGGAATGGGCCGTTTTCGGTTCGCGAGAGGGCGTCGCGGTCGTCAGTTTTGCGGGCCCAGGTCCGTCGGCTTCGGTCCCAGGCCGTTTTCACTAAGGAGAGGTTTACTAAAGGGAGGTTTGTCCACCGCCGAGGGTGGGCCCCGGTAGCGGCAGGGCCGTTCTTTCACCGTCTCCGAAAAAGTGTCCCTTGAAAATGGAGACGGCAAAAAATCGGCGACCGGAAACGGCAGCAAAAACGACTCCAGGATTGGAACCGGAGCGGGAACCCGTAAAAGAACGGCGACGGAACCGGTAACAAAAACGGCGTCGGAACCGGCAACAAAAACGGAAAACGGAAGCGGTAACAAAAACGGTTTTTTGTCGTGTCCAGGGCCCACTAAGCTCCTCCCCCCCCCTCAGGGGTGCATAAAACGACGCGAAGATCGGGACAAAATCGGATCGGGATAACTCGAAATCTCTGAGAATCGGCGGGCTTGGAGGATGTACTGGGCGCCGCGGCCGCTCCAGAGCGTTCCGGAACGCTCTGAGAGCGCTCCGGAACGCTCTGGAGCGATGTATCCCGATCCTGGCCCTGTTTGAGTGCAGGGGGGGCCCGCCTGGGAGCCCCCGAGTGCCAGCCGCCGGCTGGGCCCGAGGGGCCAGGGAGCCGGCGGCCTTTTGGGCGCTGCGACGGGAGCA